AAAAGTTGAGTTTTTAGCCAAAATTTACAAAAAAAAAAGGTAAAATAGCAAAATCAACCCAAAATATCAAATTCAATATAGATTTACTAAAAGAAAAATTTCACCACTAAGTAATGGCCTAATAAAAAAATAATATCAAATTTAATTTGGGAGTAACTTTGGTAATTTTGCCTAAACAAACAAAAAAACATTATTAAAACTAAAGATTCTAAAATGCTAATGCAAAAAGTCCAAAATGGTTGAGTTCCAAAATCAACATAAACTTACATTTAAACATATAGTCATAATATATATCCATAAAAAACCAAAAATATAAAGCAAAAAAAAATCGGATATCCGGTTATCCGAAAAATTCCAGAAATTGAATCCATATCCGATCCGATTTTTTTTCGGGTATCCGATCCGAAATATCCGAAAGCTAAAATATCGGATCGGATATCCATTTTTCGGATCGGATCGGCCCGGATCGTGGACGGATATTTCGGATCGGATATTTTTGAACACCCCTAACGACAAGGGGCTTTAGCAGGCAAGCCAAATACCCAGGCTGGTAATGATCTAGTCTATATTTGAAATGTATTTTAGTCCAGAGGAGGCATTGACATAGAAATACTAGAACTATGAGTAGGAACGACGTAAGTTTTGAAATCATTGAAGGCAACAGTGTCATTTAGCAAACTACATAGGTATTGGAGCAATACACTCGAGAAATGTCACTCTCATTTAGCGGTCCGTGATGATCCGTGATACTACTGGAACCTATCACGGACCACTCTTATTTAAACGGTTCGGTATCGGTACGGGATGAACTCCAAAACCATTCGGTACCATTCTGTTTTGAAACGGAACGGTACAATACCATACCCATGCTCAAACCGTGCCAAAAAAATGAATGTACATTACTCAAAGAATATTGAATTTAATGTATAAATTTGTATAACAAAGCACAAGTTTGTTAAATAAAAATATTGAATCCAAATTTAAACGGATCATAAACATAAAGAATAAAATATATCGAGTCCAAAGTTTAAAAATAATTTTTTTCCCAATTCATATAATATCGGAATACTAATAACTATAAAAAAAATAATGCTAATAGTAATGATAAATATAATAACAACAATAATAATGAGAAAGTCTAAAAATGAATAATAAAATACGAAGTATTCTATATACGGTAAGATGAAGTAGACAAATAATCCATACTTATTTGAGATACGTACTCCGTATATAGCGTTGGAGGGTTCGGTCCGTGATAATCGGTTTTAAATATATGTATCACGGTCCCGTCCCATACTCACATTTGATATCGGGTTGGTTTCGGTCAGTGATGAAAAAAATCAATCCCGTTTGAAAACACTCAAAAACGGTTCGGTACCATTACAGTCCGGTATGGTACCATGCTAGTTCGGTTTTTTTGCCCACCCCTACTCTCATACATAGAAAGATAAAACTCTAACTACCAGTTTAAACTTTTGAGTTAGAAAGCAGATCAAGATTTTATATATGTTAGAATTCTCGTACGGATTACAACGGACGGGGAAGATGAACGGCCCCGGAAAATAAAAATAAATAAAATTCTGAATTTATAATTTATTCAGAATATTACAAAATAAACAAAGCTGAAAATAAATTGCTATATCTTCAAACAGCCTTGCTGTACGAGGGCATTAAGGACTGGACAGCGAGGACGTTCAGCACTTGACAGCGAGGTCTTTAAGCACTGGACAGCGAGGTCTTTAAGCACTGGACAGTGAGGTCTTTAAACACTGGACAGCGATTCAAGGACGTTATGCACAAGGCTGCGAGGACATTATGCACTGGGCTGCGAGGACATTATGCACTAGGACAGAATGCAGCGAGGTCTTTATGAACTGAACCTGCAAAACACAACACCGTGGAAGGACAGCGGAGTCGCCGGAGCTGTCCTTAAGGTAGTAGTGCCCGCCTACCGTACCGGAAAACGTGGGCACTCTCCTCCCAGGATAAAACCTCTATCGTGTGTGGAGATTGTACGGACCAACCACACACCAACGAACAAGAACAACGTAGGAACGTTGACGACCAAAAACTATAAAGGGGATGGCCGGAAAAATTGGCCGGAAAATCAAGAGCTCTCTCTAAAGAAAATAATAAAGTGTTTTCTCTTTTCTTTCTCTCTTCCTCACGCAAGGCACACACCAAAAAATGATTGAGGGAGCTTTTGATTTTATAACAAAGGAGTTTAAAAATTGTAACTCCTTCACCATTAACCCATGGAATTAATCATGGCATTTGTGGTGTGTTAATGGTGATTAATTAGCCATTAACACGTCCGTTACGCTACGCTCCGTTTAAAATTTGTCCCGAATAATTGGAGATTAATGGCCAGTTAACTCCGTAAAAATGGACTAATTTTAAACAATACGTAAAATTAATAAAAGAAGATTGGTTCAGTAAA